ACTTTGTAGTACAACTTTAGTACGCGGAGTATCTGGGGAGCTGGAAGCTGAGAACTGGCGACTTTGCAGTGCAACTTTAGTACGCGGATGAGTCATCTCTCGCGGCTGAGTCATCTCTCGCAGCTGCTCTGGCGCCCCTGCAGCTGAGTCATCTCCCGACCACCCGGCTCTCTTAAAAGGTTGACACACACACACAGAGACCCACGCACTGCCTCAACTTACTCGGAGACACACGCACAGACATAGATACACGCACACAGAGACCCACGCACTGCCTCAACTCACTCGACTTAACACTTCACACTGAACACTTAACAGATAACTCACACTCTGACTTCCTACGTGATGAAAAATGCTTTCGGGCCACTCGTCGTCTAGTATACAGATGTTTTTCTTCTTCAAAGTAAAACATGTTTATTATTGTTATTGCTATTCTTATATATTATGTATTATTACAATCATTCTTCTGGGATAAGCCGTGAAGACTACAGGGGTACGGGTGGTTAGTGCCAAGTAGCTAGGACGCAGAGGAACCTTTTGCGTGGTGGAAACAGTTCTTGGATTCGAGAAATCGAGAATAATCACGAAGGCTAGCTTTAGCTAGCTGGAGTCTGCTTTGCTTTAGCAAGCCAACCTGAGTCCGAACCCCTGATATATCAGGGATATACCCCCCGCCGGGGGTTCAACTCCCTCCTTCCCCCCTGACCGTCTGACCGTTTCTCAGTCGCTGTTGCTGTTGCTGCTTCTTTGCCGCTGCTGCTGCTGCTGCTGCTGTTTCTATGTTTCTTTGTTGCTTCTTCTTTGCTGCTGCTGCTGCTGCTGGCTGCTTGATGCTTGCTGCTTGCTGCTTACTGTTTGTCTGCTGCTGCTGCTGCTGCTGCTGCTGTGGTTTGGCGGTGGTGCTGGTGCTGCTGCTGCTGCTGCTGCTGCTGCTTGGTTTGCACCAACCACGGTTTACACCAAACCACCACTTGCACCAAACCACAGTTTAGACCAAACACCGTGGTTTGCATCAATCACCGTTTACACCAAACCATGGTCTACACCAGCCGCGGTTTACACCAAAGCACAGTTTAAACCAACCACGGCCACGGCTTACAGTTTACACCAACCAACAATTCACACCAACAGAAACATGTTTTTGAGATCCCAGCTGTGATTGTTCCTTGTTTGCTTTTTATACCTGTCCGTGTTGGTCACTCGTGCATTTGCTGCTGCTGCTGCTGCCGCAGGTTGGTGCTGTTTTGCTGCTGCTGCTGCTGGGGTGGTTGTGCGTTTCCTGTGTTGGGGTTGTATTGGGGGGGTACTGTTAGCACTCTCCTCCTTTGCCCTCCTCCATGATATGCTGCGACTCCCGGCCTGGGCTCTGCTGCCGAAAAGGCACCAGCCCCCTGGCCACAAGTATGATTCTGAGTGGAAATCCTCTTCTGTGACTTTGCCCTTGAATAAGTGTAGACGACGGAATGAATCATGTGTATGCTAGGGGTCAGCAGAGAATCGCTGGATTTGCGAACTATTTTTGTAATTTTGTGTCAATCAACATAATTTTCAGTTTCTAGATAGAGTGAGTGTAGGAATGACACTCCACCCCATGGATTTGGATTGTGTTTAGACTTCAGTCTGCCTCAGCTTCTGGGCATTTGTCAGACATTTTGTGCTTGGCTGATGGCTTCTGGAGGTCCCTTCGTAAGATCACAGGCGCAGCAATGCGCTGCAAGATCTTGGCACTAGGCCAGCAGCTGGTTTGGGCAGAAGACCGGAATGGGCCGAAGTTTATGAATGCTTATGCCAAGGTCCCTACAGTAGCTGCAATCCTTTGACAATTTCCAGTTTCCGGCCACGTCCAAATTTCAAACGAGTTGACAGAAAGGTCACGAAGTCTCTGGTTTCGAATGGTGCCTTCTGCAGCTTGGCATCGATGTGCGACATACTAGGAGCTCAGACACTCCCAGGGAAGCGTGCGAAGCGGGAGATCGAGATGGCATGGCATGCCGTGGCTGTATCTAACTCTCTCTCTCTCTCTCTTTCTGAAGTTGGAGTTGTAGAAGATAACCAGAGCCTGCACTGACGAAGTGAGCCTAACATTGCTTTGACTCCCAGAACTAAGGGCGCTAGCTTTCAGCTGTTCAAGCAATACAGACAGATGATGGTAGTACAGCAGACACAGAATCCCTTGCACTACAGTATGCAGTTGATGAGGGGGTGCAGAACTTTGCAGCAACTTTACAAGCAGGGTTTGGATGGGTTTGGTGAACATTCATTCATTCATTCATTCATTCATAATGTTCATAGAACAATTTTTGGATAGGGTATGTCACGAAAGCGAGCTCTATATAAAGGAGATTTGCCGAAGTTTTCGTTTACAGAGGAAGGCTGAGAACTGATAGTCGCAAAGGATCGAATTATTGATACTACAAAAGGCACCCCCTCACCTCGCTTTGCATGAGAGAATCACTTCGACCCCAACGAATTGATTTCGTGTTGATCTACGGGGGCCCGTAAGGTTCGACACTTAGCTATTTCGCAAGCAGTCCTGCCATGACTACGCTTGAGCACACAAGAACATCAAAAACTATCCGCAACATGGACTACAGTATATTATAAATGTATACAAGATGGGCACGATGAGGGGGCATGGGCTGATCGCCCACACACTATCCACCACCCACCACACCACGCCCCACCACCAATAGCAAGGAACGTGCCACTTTCCCTCAGGCTGGCTGGCTGGGATGGGCGGCGCTTGCCTGTCTCAGCGACTTGACTTTAGTTGGCTGGGCTTCAATTGTGAGGTCTGAACCACTATATGGCTGTGGGTCAAAACCTGGAGCCCCAAAACCTGGTAGGTTGACATTTGTTCATTTTCGGTGGTCAACCAGGGTTATTTGGAGAATGCAGCGATGGGACCTCGGATCAAGAACAAAACAAATCTTGACCGGGGGCCGGGGGTCTAGATAATGGCATCAGGATAATTTATGACCTGAAGAGTTTCATGGATCAAACCAGACCCATGCTCGGTTCTTTGAGGTTTTGGCCTTGCCGCACTCAGACAACCCAGGCCAGGCTTGTTTAAACCCCTACAGTTGCCATGAATGATGCAGGCTGCAGGTCTACTAACCTGCAAGTGAAGGGACAGATAGAAACCCAAATCTGTGCATTTGAGGTGTCCTGACCGCCCTGCCACTCTTTGATGTCCTAGCCAACATGGCACCTGAGTCATGCACTTCGGCTGGATGGCCCAGGAGGAACTGTTTTGTCTTGGCTGGAAGATGAACTGTGCTTGGAAGGGTTGTCGTGTTTGTCAATATTCACTGAACAGGGTCACTTTCTTCCTTTGTTGCCAGGTACTGTAACCATCACGTCCGCAGTGTGATTCGCTAATAGCAATCAGTATATAGGTCTTTTTGAGCTTCGAGGCTTGACTCGCCATGAGCATCTTTGCGAGCGTGCCCCAGGCGCCGGCGGATCCCATCTTGGGCCTGGTAGGACGTTTCAAGGCCTGCACAGCTGAGAAGAAGGTGAATCTCAGTGTCGGAGCTTATCGTACCGCAGAGGGCAAGCCATGGATTCTCCCTTCGGTTGCGGAGGCAGAGAAAATGGTGATCAGTGACACCAAGCTCGACAAGGAGTATCAGCCCATCGATGGCAAAGCGGAGTACAAGCGACCAGTCCAAGAGTTGATCTTTGATGCTGATGTGATTGACAGCGGTTGCCTTGCGACCGTCCAAGCACTGTCAGGGACTGGCTCCTTGCAATGCATTGCCCAATTCTTGAAGTTCATGGGCGTGACAAAAGTCTGGGGTCCGAACCCTACCTGGGGCAATCATCCCAAGATTTTCCAGCGTGCGCTGCTTGAGTATGACATGTACCCCTATTGGCACCAGGAGAGTCGTGGGTTGGACTTTGAAGGAATGATTGCAGGCATGCAGAAGATGAATGAGGGTGATTGCATTCTCTTGCACTCAGTTGCACACAATCCCACTGGTGTAGACCCCACACCTGAGCAGTGGCAAACCATTGTGCAAGTTTGCAAGGAAAGAAGACTTATTCCGCTGCTGGACAATGCCTACCAGGGCTATGCCAGTGGTGACTTGGCCAAGGATGGCTATGCCCAGAAGCTGTTCACGCACAGCGGCCTCGAGTTCTTCATTGCTCAATCCTTTGCAAAGAATTTCGGACTTTATGGTGAGCGCATTGGGTACATTCATGTGAAGTGTGCCTCGAAAGATGCCGCGGACGCAGTGCTCTCGCAGATGAAGATCATTGTGCGACAAGCTTACTCCAGCCCTCCGCAGCATGGTGCTGCGATAGTGAACAAGATCCTGACAACTCCGGCCTTGAAGGAGATGTGGCTCAAAGAGCTCACTTTCATGTCATCTCGCATCAGTGACATGCGCACTGCACTTCGGGGTGCAATCGAGGCCAAGGGAACCCCTGGAACGTGGAATCATGTCACAGATCAGATTGGCATGTTCACCTTCACGGGCTTGACGAAGGATCAGGTGGTGCGCATGGTGGAGGAGTTCCACATCTACATGACAGCTGACGGCCGTATCTCAATGGCAGGTCTGAACCCTGGAAATGTCGACTATGTGGCCGAGAGCATCGACAAGGCAGTCAGGGGACTTTGATTCCACACCGACCGGAACTCTCCCGAATGTGCCATGAGGGTGGGCATTCAAGATGCTCAAGTACTCAAGCTAAATAATGGCACTTACGCTGCGTGGCTCCCAAAATTGTGAGACTGAGTCGTGGCGAGTCGCTAATCCACTCTTGATCTCTTTTGAACGATCAGGTTTGACAATTTGCTGGTCAAGCTGACTGTCCAAAATCAGCCAGCGATGACGGGCCTCGCGGCCTAGCGGCGGGATTTTCCCTGCCCCCCAGGATTCCGCAGTTTGCCAAACTCATTTGATTCTGACAAGCTGCTGAATTCAACATAAATCAAAGGAGTCCTGGAGGGAACCCTTTTATTCCCCAGGCCTTACTATACGAACAAGGCGCAAAATAATTCCATCTTGAGTGGCCGCCTGTGACACTACTTGGATTCAAATCGATGGCTTGATGACATCCGACGGGATGATTTTAGGCGGAGGTCGCAAGCTTGGGCATGGAGGCGTCCGGAATTCTTTGGGCCCTGAGCTTGGAGAGGAGACAGAGGATAAAAGGGGATGAAAGAAACTGCATGGCTGAGTGGGCGAAGATGGCTGCTGAGACTAAGCACCGAATCCCAAAGGATTCTGATCTTTGGGGTTTCCGCAGAAAGTCTTTTCTCTTTGAGGAGCATGCATCACAAAATCCACCTTTCAGTTCATGTGCACTATGGCAACCAGGTCTTGTGGTCGAATGGCCGGCTGGATGCCTTCAACCTGCCGGCACCTCAATTGGTACAGACCCAAAACTGCTTGCCCTTAGCGATATCGGCCTGAGGTTGAAGGGTCGGCATGATGGTTCCTGGAGACCGCACTGGCCCATGCGCCGGCCTAAGAAGCAACCTACTATCACCTTTGCTCCTACTAGCGTCCTTGCTCCTAGTAAGGCACTTGTTACTAGAAGCGATGCACTTGTTCCTAGTATATAGCTTCTTGCTTCTATAAAATCATTTGGTGACCTGGAAATCTAGGAGACTTCCAAAGAGCCAAGGCAGCCGCGCTCAGTGTGCCCCAGTCCTTTGGGAGACGCACCAGGCAAGGTGGGGGTTGATGAGAAGGGGCGCTGGTTCTTGTTTGCTGGAGTTCCTGCTTTCAGAACTTGAACTCATGACTCCCCATGAATCTGGACCCAAAACAGCGAGCCTGTTTTGCAAATGCGGACTAGGATTTGTTGAGACATTCCCAAACTGTATCAACAGTCATATCTCAGCAGGCAGGTGCCTCGTTGGCTGCTTCGACTCACAATGAGAGAATTTCAGGTTCGAAGGTAGCTCGTTGGAGACCAAGAGGTATCTTAATCTTTGGTGGCTCTGTGATGCCCTCAATAGCAATTTCATGCAACTTCCACATGAGTCAATCACACTCTTCAGATGTCCTATATACATCTATATACCATGTCTAATTATGTCCATTTTGTACACTTCTTTGCGCGTACACTCAAACTTGTGGACCGCCTCAACGAGTGGCTATCATCGACTTCCCCACCATGGGATACCATGCGCTATTAGGGTGGAGGTCATTGCTGTTAAGACGCTTCACCTCTCCCAATCCAGCCTGAGGCTCCCGGCTATTGATCCTGGGCTCTCGTGGCCCCTGGCCGGAGCTCTGGCGAGGGGCGATTCGCCAGGTCATGTGAGCACTAAGCGGCAGAGCCAGAGCCACGGAGGTTTGAAACTGAAACCATGTGAGGAGAGAGAGGTGAGGAGAAACATGTTTGAACCATGTGCAGAAAATGGTGAGTGATATTTAATGATATATATATATATATCATAAATCTGTATATATTTCTTCAATTCGACTGCGCCTATCTCGACAAGCCTCTCCTGCTTTCGGAGCCTCAAGAGGATGGGCCAAAGTGCCCTCGAGCTTAAGTTGCTGACACGTCTCCGTTCACCCGGAGATTGGCTGTGTACATAGCGAGTGGTGTCCCACAGGGTGCAAGACAAGGATCTCTTTGGTGAGTGGTTTGACAGCCTGTGATTTTGAGTTTGATGTGTCGGGCTTTCAATACTCATGGAAAGTCTTCAGAGGTTGAAAGATGTCCGAGATTTCCACGTCATGCGAGACGGTCATGTGGCTCTTGGTTCACCCTGTGGACTTATTTGCTTCGAAGCATCGCGTCAATCGAGATTGGAGCGTACAAAAACGGCAGCACGCACCAGGCAGCAACTAGGCAAAGAAAGGCAACGCCGACGGGCCGATGTCCACTAGGCCGAGGTGATCGACCTGGATATCGAAGAGCCGCCCGTCAAGCGGCACAAGGCACTCAGCGTTGTGCAAAGGTCTTTGGGTGATTTTGGGTGTGTTGTTTAACAGAAGGACCTGAGGGAAACGCAATAATTAGGATCCCCTTTCAATTATATATATAACATTAAGAGAAATGGGTATCAAGAACTGACGTGAAGCCCCGTCATCCCTTTGCACAGGCAGGAGCAGCTCCAAAGCCGCGGCCTGCAGTGGATGCTCCAAAGCCGTCACCTTGGCCCTCTCAAACGCTTTGTCAGTGGACGAACAAAGTCATTTGCTGAGACAAGAAGTTTGGACATGATTGAAACACTTTTTGTGTGATTGTGCTTTCATGAAGATTAGACATCCACTTACCAAATCTGATAAAATCTGGGCATTGGAGACTCCAGTCTTTGTTTCAATCTGAGGTGCAGATGTATTGGATATACGTCATTGCAAAAACTTTCCGCTCGTCACTGTTGGGCTCGCTTGGCCTTCACCATGTCAGGCCACAAAGCCACGCAGCGATGCAAAGACCTGTTTGCAGTGCTTTGAATCCGATTGCGAAAGGTGTGCGTAGGAGGCGTGCCCGGAAGTGAACATGCACAGAAGACAAAACATGTCCTGAAAAGTAGTGTTTTTCCTCTTCTTCAACAGATTTGTCTTAAAGGCTATATAATTGTTCCATCGTACAGTATTGAAGCTACTTAACAATCTAGTGACGGTCTTTTTGCTTGACTACTTTGTTGCAGAATCAGCTGCAGACTTCAGATTGATCCCCTTCTCAGGCCAATGTCCGATGCAACCGAAGTCCTTGTGCCAAGCTCCAAAGCTCGCTCGCAACCAGCGGCCAAAGCTGCTGCGTCAAAGCTGCGTGAGGCTTTGCCTGCTGATGCACCTGCTGGTGCAAAAAGCAGGCTTGAGGGAATGTAAGAGTCGGTTTGAAGTAGGAGAAACATGGAGAAACATGATTAGAGGGATGCGAGGGTTAGTGACTAGTGGTCCAGATTTGCCAAAGAACTTCTTCACATTGTCATGGAGCATGCTGTTTGTGCGCCATTTGCTTGACGAGGGGAGTGGGATATATATATATATATAATGTTCCCTGCCTTAGGGGAAATTAACGTGACTACTGAGTCTCGGATTAATTTTCTGGGATTCATTTTTCTCGATGGTAGGATTTTGGTCATAGTTTCGTACAAACATTCTGGAAATTGATCCTACTATCAGATTTGTAGGTTGAGAGTACCGTGGATTAATTTTGAGACGTGGAGGTTTGAGGAATATTACTGTAATCATGAGGTGATGCAGAAGCGGAGCCACCCCTGGATTATTTTCTGGGAGTGCTCAAGCGAAGGCTTGCTATGACCATTACACAAGAAACAAAACTAAAAGCAACTGCATAGAAAGGAGCCACACAGTTACAGTAATGACAATCAATCACAATGATATTATCATGATTATATGATACTATAGTGACAGAATATGATTACACGGATGCCTACAGTAATGTATCCTTAGAAGAAGGAAATCAATCCAGCACTTATAGGGAATTTGTTTCAGGGAAGCCATGTCGCACGTACCACCGGCTGGTGAACCTATTGCATGTGGCATCGCTCGATGTCTGGGCGCACCCCTGGATGAATTTCAACCCCCCCCCCAGCCTAAAAATCAATCCAGACTCAACATCCTCCAGATTAGTTTTCTGAAAACGCTCTGGAGGTAGTCAGATTACTGTAATTTAAAAACTAATCCACCCCTCTACTCTCCATCTTGGAAGGGTACATTATGTATATAGCTATGTGAAACGAGAAGATTGAAGTCTATATCACATGCTCAAAGTTCGAGT